AACAAAAGATCCAGTCAGGGCACCCCTGCTCTCGGGAGGTTCATGTACGGTCTGGGGCAGGAGACAGATATAAAAGCAGAAAATCACAATAAATCCTGACAAGTGCGAAGGAAGAAGGGTGTGCTGTGGGAGCCTGAGCATCAGGACAATTAACTAGGAGTGTGCGGCTGCGGGGCAAGTGCCCCAGAAGGCTTCACAGAGAAGGGGATGTTGAAACTGGGCTTTAAAGGATGAGTAGGAGTTTTCCAGATGAAAAAGGGTGTGGGTGTGGTAGGTAGAATGACATTTCAAGTTCTGCTCTTAACTCCCTAATGATTCCCTGGCTCCTTTGCTGACCACATCTTCCGCCTCAAGTGTTGGTTCCCAAGATCATGTCTTCAGTCTCCTCCTCTTTTCCCTACCCTCTCCTAGGACAAACTCGATTGCTCCATGGTTTTGATGCAGGTAGTAAGAGTGAACAGTTACATAAGTAAGGCGTTGTGCTGAATACTTCACATTCATGATATCATTCACTGTTCACTATGATCCTGTGTGGCAGTTATCACCATCCTCACTTTGCATAGAGAAACTGAGGCACAGAGGGGTTAGGTGACCTGAAGTGTCACAGGAGGTGCTTTCAGCAGCAGGTACTGGGATACCCAAATCGACGTGGCTTGATTGATGAGTGTTTTATCTCCCATCACAAACACTCTAGGGGAAGGCGATACTCAGGTTAATTCAGCAGCTCAGTGATGCCAGACTCGGGGTCAGCTTCTCTCTGAGTCTCTCGGCTCTTCCCTCGTGGTCCCAGATGGCTGTTACATGGAATGACTAAGCATTGCATCCTTCCTCAACACCCAAAGGCAGGCAGGAAGGGAGCTTTTCCTCCTGGGCATCTCTTTTTTTATTGGAGGGGGAAGCCTCCCCTATCGAGCCCCCAGGAAAATTCCCCGGGGCCCCTGCCTCCCCAGCCTCTCTTTCCTTCCCTACCCTCCCTAACTCCAGCCAGGCCGACCCTCTCACAGCTCGGCCCCAGTCGGGGTTCTCCGGAGGTTAGCAGCCTAAACAGTGAAGGGATTTACTGAGCACACGGATCCTCTGCTTTTTGAAAATTCTCATTCCACCACTTTACTTTTATGAAAGTACCTGTTTCACCAACCGAAAGAGATACGAAGAGGATTTTGGCTTTTGTGGGGAAAAGGGGGGAAAGTAGAGATAGCGTGGGGCGCTTGCTTTGCAGCGAGCCGCTGGAGAGGCATCCTGCACCCCGGCAGCGAGGGGCCCGCCCTGTATCAAGAGGCCAGAGCCTTGAGCTTGTCTGTGAGCATCGATGAGACCCATTTGGGGGGTCTGGGAACACTCGAAAAATTTTCCAAGTAAATAAATAGTAATTGTTTCTTCACTTTATGCCATTTGGGCTCACAAAGAGTTTCATGTGAACGTTTTACTTGGCGGTACACATTTCAAACAAGGATAGAAACCACAAGCAATGCGGTGAAGACACAGGCAAAGGCGTGGCAGGAGCTCTGCTGGACAGCCGGGACTGGCCACATCGGCCACCCGCTGCTGTTGGACTCTCCCCTCCCCTCCGAGAACTGGCCCTGCCACCTCAGCTCTCTCCGTCAAAGGGCAAAGTCCTGGGCAGGGACATCCACCGGTCCGGCCTGGTCATGCACTCACTCCCCAGTTTCCAGGCAGGCAGGACTCTGTCCTTTGAGCTTCTGTCGGGTGAAAAGTGGTTATTCCCCGCCCCCCCCAAGCCCTTTGCAGTGTAAGATTTTCACAGTGTAAGAGAGGCTTTCCTCTGCTGAGTGCTGTGGTTTCTCCCAACCTACCGGCCTCTCCTGCCTCCAGGCCTTTGCACACGCAGTTCCCTGCGTGTGGAATACCCTTCTCCAGCTTCTATTCTTTTTTAATCCATGCCCGAGGATATGCCTTTTCATTGATTTGCAGGGAGAGAGAGAGAAAGGTTGATGTGAGAGAGAAACATCCATGGGCCGCCTCCTGCACACACCCTGAGGGGGATCAAACCTGCACTCCCCTGGCCCATGAGACGACGCCCCAACCAACTGGGCCACCCAGCCAGGCCCTCCTCTGCAGGCAAACCCTCCTCATCTCTTCTAGAGGTCACTTCCCCTCAAAATGATCACAGGTTCTGGGGATTAGGATGGGAACATCTTGGGGGGGCGGGGCGCAGCATTATCCTGCTTACTACGAAACACTAAGAAATAGTTCTTGGGCTGCCTGTTTGGGGCCCCTCTCACTGCGGCAGGAGCTTTTGTCTCTCCTTCAATAAACTTTTGCTTTTGCTTAAAATATATATATACACACATATAAATGTAAATATATATATATACACACAAACACATAAATGTAAATATATATATATATAAAATTTCTTGGCTCATCTTGCATTTATCTCTTCCTCTCTTTCCAGTCTCTCCTGCAAGAGATCTTTATAAAACGTGAACCTGTCCTGCCTAGGAAACTTCCCAGTTCCCCAAAGCCTACCAAATAGAAACCACAGCACACCTACCCTCTCTCACCTCTGATGGTTCGCTCCCAGTGTTCTCTCAGCCTGAAATTTCCCCCACCCCAAAGCCAAATCCTCGGTATCCTTCAAGGTCCTTCTCTTTCACAAAAACCTCCACGATCCCTCTTGCTGGAACCCAGCTGCACGGTGAGTCCCATGTCTGCAGAAACCGCCTATCTTGTTACCTGGCAGGGCACCAGCCAGTCAGACAGACCTGAGCTTGAATCTGCTCAGCCACAGGCTAAGCAATTGTGCCTTTCTTTACTCTATTAATAAAAATGCGGATAATAGAGCACTTACCTCATATGTAGTTTGTTGTGAGAATTAGATGACACAATAGACGTAAAGTGCTGAGCACTGTGCTGGCACACAGTACCCAATAATAGTTTGATGGTAACAGTTATTATTAAAAATTAATAGTTGAGTGAATAATGAATGAGGTAGTCCCTCCTGCCCCTGGGATCTCAATATCTCTTTATGGTCTTTAGTATGTCCCAAAGCCTACTATTTATTCATTTTTGAAAATTGAATAAATACACCTTACAGCCCAGCTGGCATGGCTCAGTGGTTGAGCGTCGACCTATGAACCAGGAGGTCACGGTTCGATTCCTGGTCAGGGCACATGCCTGGGTTGCAAGCTCTATCCCCAGGAGGGGACGTGCAGAAGGCAACCAATAGACGTCTCTTTCTCATTGAAGTTTTTATCTCTCTATCCCTCTCCCTTCCCCTCTCTCTAAAAATCAATAAAAACATATTTAAAAGAATAAAAAATAAATAAACCTTACATTTTGTGTATTAATGTGTAATCTTAGTTGCTTTTCCTCCTGGGTTTTGGGGGGGTGTCCATACCTGGTCAGCATCGCTTCAGGGATTGCTGGTAGAAAGGGAAGGCTGCCCCCATGCCCCTTGCCTGGTGCCCTGGGCAAACCTTGGTAAACTCTGGTCTTCTTGATTGAAGTGAATTTGGGCCACATGGAAGCTTCCTCCAGGGAATATATGCTTGTTTTCCCACCCTCACCCCCACTCCCATGAACCCTGTGCTAACTGGGGCGGCACCTTATCATCCCCAGCCTTGTGACTCTGTTTCTGTGTGGCTTTGGGCTGGTCACTGTATATCTTTCTGAAAAACGGGCATAACGACTCCTGGTTAGGCACCTTCCAGGTCAGGGACCTTATAGAAGTCCAGTGTGGAGGTGAAGAATGAATGTTAACTTCTTTTGTGAGGTAAAATAGAAGAGATCAAGCTAAAGGGAGAGCAAATTCATTACCAGGATGTGGAAAATGAATTACTCTGAGCCTGTGGGGAAACATAACTGTTTCATAATCACATTCTGGACTAGAGGTCCAAAGGGGCCGTTGGGGCTGCTTTTGCCAGGGTTTCAGGGGTTGCTTCATAAGGGGTGTGGATGAAACTTTCACACACCAAAATGCTGTAGAAATTATTTCCATGTCCAAGAATGGTCATCTCTTTTGAGGAAAAACTACCTTTTCCTGACTTTAAAAGGTCATTTCTTATTTAAAAAAAAATTATATTTGTTTATTATAATTCATCATAGAACTTCTTGAAAATGTAAAAATCACTAAGAAGAGGAGAGAGACCATGACTATCAAACAAAACTGGGGCTTTGTTGTAACCGCAATTTTGTATCCTGTTGGTGAACATCTTCCCATGTGATTAAATATCTTGGGGGGGGG